TCCAGTCTCTCTATGAGTCATTGACTGCATTTGGTCAATGACTGCATTCCATTTGTTCCTTTTCTGAGTTTGAGCATTTATAGCTGCTATTCTGTACCTTCTCTACCACATGTTGCATGTCAGGGGTGTAGACAGAAACACATCTGGACTGAATGAAAAATAGGACTTTGATATGCTTTGGATATTTGTCCCCTCCAAATCTCATGATGAAATGTGATCCCCCGTGTTGAAGATGGGGTCTAATGCAAGGCATTTTCGTTATGGGGGCAAATCTTCATGAATGGCTTGGCGCACTCCCTGCGGTAAGAAGTTAACATGAGAGTTGGCTGACACTTTCCCCCTCCTCTTTCTTGCTGTCTCTCTCTCTCTTTCCCCATGTGACACATGTTTTTACTTGTTCCCCCTTCATAAGTAAAAAGCTTGTTCCTTCCATCATAAGTAAAAAGCTTCCTAAGGTCCTGACCAGAAGCAGATGCTGGTGCCATGCTTGTACAGTCTGCAGAATTGTAAGCCAAATGAACCTCTTTTCTTTATAAATTACCCTGCCTCAAGTATTCCTTAACAGCAACACAAAATGGACTAACACAGGAAAGAGGGAAGAGACAGAGAGAAGCCACATCTGGACTGAAAACTAGGACTTCACGTCACTCTGGGATTTTAGTTTGAACTTGAAGTAAAGACTAAATGGGAATTTGAGGTCTCTCCCTTGCAGGTGAGTGTGTTGTGTGAGTAAAAATCAAATATGTGTTCACCATTTCACATTCATTGCATTTTCCTCCTGATCACACAGCTAAACTGAATTTTCTAGTCTCTGCTGTGGTTCGATGGTGCAGGGTGACTAAGTTTTGTCCAGTTATGGGTGAAGTGATGTATACCACTTTCAGACCTGGCCCTATAAATATCTTTTGTGATCATCTATATTCTCTGTTTTCTTCCTGTTTGTTCACACACAGGATGACTTGTGGACCACGAATTGAAGACAGAAGAGTTTCTATCAATCTAGGTCCAACCCTCCACAAACCTGGAAAGAAATTTTTATGAAAGCCTATGGGAATTGAGGGTATTTGTTTCCATCATTGGTGTTATCCTTGCTATTATGTAATATTTATATAGGTATGTGCTGCTGGAGTGTCTACATAAATATCAGACAAAATAAGCTTAAAGGCAAAAAGCACTACTAGAGCTAGAGAGCATGACTTCCCAATGTTAATGTCTTCTATTTGCTAGCAAATTTTAATTTCTTTTATTTTTTAGTTTTTAGTTTTATTTTTTGAGGCAGAGCCTTGCTCTGGCATCCAGGCTGGAGTGCCGTGGCGCAATCTCGGCTCACTGTAACCAAACCTCTCAGGGTCACGCAATTCTCATGCCTCAGCCTCTTGAGTAGCTGGGACTGCAGGTGTGCACCACCATGCCCAGTTAATTATTGAAGTTTTAGTAGAGATGGGGTTTTGCCATGTTGGCCAGACTGGTCTCAAACTCCTGGCCTCAAGTGATCTGCCTGCCTTGGCCTCCCAAAGTGCTGGAATTACAGGCATAAGCTACCATGCCCAGCCCTAGAAAATGTATTTTAAGTTTGTATGTATCTAATAATATAACTTTAAAATAGATAAAGCAAAGAATGAACGGACTATAAGGAGAAGGAGACAATTATATAGTCAAAGTAGGTAATTTATCTTCTGCTATATAAATATAGATAGATAAATATAGAAATGTATACATTTGCCAATTAAAGTCCAAAGAGGTGGGTAGGAGCAAAATTGTACTGGACTAGGCGAAACACAGCAGATGGTAACTGAAATCCACAGGAGCTGTGGAAAAGAAGTAGAAGTGGCAAATAATAAGGTTAATACAAGAAATGCTATATAGCTGCTATCTTTCAGCTTCCTTAAAAGACATGAAATTACATAAAGTAATAATTATAACAATGTATTGATGGGTTTATAACATACACAAATGTAATATAAACCACAATAATAGTGCAGAAAGAGAGAAAATGAAATAGATCTATATAGTGGTAACATTTCTTTTTTTTCACAGCTGAGCAAACCTTCTGCAGGAAAGGAGTAAGATTTCTGTTTCTTACTGGAATTCAGCTAGTACAAATCTAAAGTATAGTTGACTAAGTTCATATGGTAAACCCTAGAGCAATCACTAAGGAAAAACTAAAAAAATACAGTGAAAAATTGTTAAGGGGATTAAAATGTTAGATTAGAAAATATACACTTAATACAAAGCAAATAAAAAGGACAAGTAGAGGAACAAAAAGGCACAAGACATATGGAAAGCCCAAAGTAAAATAGCAGATCTAAATCTAACTATATCAATAGCAACATTAAATGGGAGTGGATAAAATAATCAAAAGGCAGAGACTGTTAGACTGGATTTAAAACAAAAACAAAATCCAACTATATGCTGTCTATTGCGAAAATGCTTTAGAGTAACAGCAACATAAGAAACTGCAGTGGCTATATTAATACCAGACAAAATAGACTAGAATACAAAATATATTACTAGAGATAAAGAGGAACTTTTTAATTTTTTTTTTGAGATACGATCTCCCTCTGTCACCTGGGCTGGGGTGCAGTGGTGTGACCATAGCTCACTGCAGCCTCACCTCTGGGGCTCAAGTGATCCTCCCACTCAACTTCCCAAAGGGCTGGGAACAAAGGCATGAGCCATCGCGCTCAGCCAGAGGAACATGTTATAATGATAAAAGAAGTAAAAGAAGTCAATTGTGCAGGAAGGTATAAACGTACATACACTGAACAACAGCTCCAAAATGCAGGCAGCAAAAACGGACAGAACTGAAAGGAGAAATAGACAAATCATCAATAAGAGTTGGAGCTGGGTGTGGAGGCACAAGCCTGTAGTCCCAGGTACTCAGGTGACCAAGGCAGGAGATTGCTTGAGCCCAGGAGCTCAAGATCAGCCTGTGCAACATAGCAAGGCTTCAGAAAAAAGAAAAATAAAGACACTGAGTTAGAGATTTAAATACTCAGCCTTCAATAATAGATCAAACAAGGGACAAAAGATCAGCAAGAGAGTGTTTCATGCAACATTATAAACTGGCTAAACTTAATAGACACATATATTTAACATCCAACAACATCACAACACATTCTTCTTTGATGTATTGGGATATTTTCCAAGACCGATCATATACTAGGGCATAAACAAGCTTCAATAAGTTTTTAAATATTGAAATAATATTTTAATATTAAAAAGAAAATTTGTTCTTGGATCATGGTGGGATGAAATTAGAAAGCAATAACAGAAAAATTGAGGAAATTCACAAATATGTGGAAATTAAACAGCACAGTCCTAAATAACCATGGGTCAAATAAGAAATCACCAGAAATTAGAAAATACTTTTATATCAATGTAAATGAAGACACAACACATCAAAACTTATGGGATGCAGCTAAAGCAGAACTTAGAGGGAAATTTACAGCTGTAAAAGACAATATTAAAAATGAAAAAATATTTGAGAGGCTGAGGTGGGTGGATCACTTGAGGTCAGGAGTTCGAGACCAGCCTAGCTAACATGGTGAAAACCCGTCTCTACTAAAAATACAAAAATTAGGTGGGCATGGTGGCATGCACCTGTAATCCCAGCTCCTCAGGAGGCTGAAGCAGGAGAATCGCTTGAAGCTGGGAGGCAGAGGTTGCAGTGAGCCAAGATGGCGCCACTGCAGTCTATCCTGGTGAAAGAGCGAGACTCCCTCTCACAAAACATAAATAAAAAGAAAAAAGAACTCAAATCAATAGCCAGACTTTCCAAAGCCAGGTACAGTGGCATGTGCCTGTAGTCCCAGCTACTTGGGAGGCTGAGTCCAGGAACTTGGGGGTATAGTGAGCTGTGACTGTGCCTGTGAATATCCACTGCACTCCAGCCTGGGAAGGAAGCATAGAGAGAGCCTGCCTCTTAAAAAATTCCTTACTTATGTAACCTAACCTTCCAACTTAAGAAACTAGAAAAATAAGAGCAAACTAAACCCAAGCAAGAAGGAAGAAAATAATAAAGATTAGAACAGAGATAAACAAACTGGAAAAAATAATAAACCAGAAGTTGACTCTTTAAAAAAAAAAAACAAAACTGAAAAAACTTTGGCTATACTGGCCAAGAAACAAAGAAAAAAAAATCAAATTACCATAATCAGGAATGAAAGAGGAAACATTACTATTGACCTTACAGAAGCCAAAAAGATTATAAAGAACCACTGTGAACAAGGACATGCCAGCAAATTAGATGACCCAGATACAATGTACAAATTCCTAGACAGACACAAAGTACCAAAACTGCCTCAAGAGGAAACAGAAACTCCGAATATATCTATAACAAGCAAAGAGACTGAACTATTACTATTATTATTACTATTTAAGACAGAGTCTTGTTCTGCCATCCAAGCTGGAGTGCCGTGGTGAGATCTCCGCTCACTGCAACATCCACCTCCCAGGTTGAAGCAATTCTCCTTCCTCGGGCTCCCAAGCAGCTGGAACTACAGGCTCGTGCCACCACGCCCGGCTAAGTTTTTTTATTTTTAGTAGAGACATGGTTTCACCGTGTTAGCCAGGATGGTCTCTATCTCTTGATCTCGTGATCCGCCTGCCTCGGTCTCCCAAAGTGCTAGGATTACAGGCATGAGCCACCGCACTCAGCCCTATTTTTTTTTAAATAATTTATTTGATTCTGATCTTAAAATATAGGCAAGAAGCATGGGCAATGCCTGTAACCCCTTGATCACACATCGTCCCAGTCTATGCTTTTATAAATACCTTTGTACAACAGCAAGCTCATGCTGTCCCCAGGTGCTTGTTCACATTCTAACAGCTGTAAAGGACAGTATGTAACCAGCTGGGAAGTTAAACAGACACCCTGCTCACAAGGTAGGGCCCCTCCAAGTGTTCCAGCTCCCTTTTGCTAATATTGAAACCCAAGTAACTGGTTGCTCTATTGATCACAGATGAATTATGCCTGCACAATTCTTCCAGTGCTTTAAGTAACCTTATTGAAAGGCAGTGACTAAGATCTTTGCTCCCAAGCTTCCTAAGTCCCAGGCTGCCTGTGGCACCTGGACTGCTGCCACTGGCTCCCCCGCATTCCAGGGCCACGATGGAGGAAGGGCAGGCCAGATCAAGCATGAGGAATCAACAGTCTTTACTGGGCTCAGCCCAGGAGTCCATGGGCCTCTGTGTATTTGTCATTGGTCTTCTCCACGTTCTTTCCCGCCTGTCTCTGTAGCCCCAGGAGTTGTTTCTTCTGGTTGTGGATCTTGGCTTTCTCCTCCTCCTCCAGGGTGGTTGTCACGGCCTGGTACTTCCAGCCCACCTCGTGAGTCAGGCGCCGCAGGTAGGCAGACTTTCTCGTAGGCTTCAGATGCACGATTTTGGGGCCAAGAAGAAGCACCATCCATTTTTTCTTGTCACAGGGCGGTGGGAAGCCACCGAACACCTCACAGCGGTCCTGGGCCACGGTCCTGGGCCACGGTCCTGGGCCATGGCCTGGCTGGCTGCTGTCAGGGGGCAGCCCGCCCCGCAAGCTCCGCCAGAAGCCAGAAGACGTGGGGCCTCAGGGAGGACTGCGTTCATGTGCCTGCCAGGGAGAGCCAGGCACTTCCACTCATCTCCGTAGTCATTGCCAGAAATGTTCATTCCCTCACAGCGCATGGCCACCACCTTCCAGCCCAGCAGTGCCTGCTTAGCCACATGGTCGCCAAGCGGCCCAGGAGGTGACCTCGGCCGTCGAGCACCAGGATCTGCCCCTCTGCCATCTTTGGCAGCTGCCTGGAAGGGACTAGATTATAAATCATAAACTTCCCATGAAGAAAAGACCAGATCATATGGCTTCACTAGTGAAGTCTACTAAACATTTCAAAATATCAATTAATACTATTTCTTTCCAAGCTTTTCCAAAAATAGAAGAAAACAATGCTCTCCCAAGCCCATTCAATGAGGCAGTACTACTCAGATACCAAAATCAGACAAGCACAATATGAGAAAACTATAGACTATTTCTTATGAACATAGACCCCACAATCCTCTAAAATTCCTATGAATTCAACAACAAATAAAAAGGATTATATACCACGACCAAGTGGGATTTATCCCAGGAATGCAAGATTGAGTTAACATAAGAAATAAATTTAATGTAGACCATCCTATCCATAGACCAAAGGACAAAAACCACATGGTCATCTTAATAGACACAGAGAAGACATCTGACAAAATTCAACATGTCTTTATGATAAAAACATTGAATAAACCAGAAAGATAAAGAATTTAATCAATCTGATAAAAGTTATGAAAAACCCACAACTAATTTCATGCTTTTTGGTGAAAAACTGAATTATTACCCTCTCTAATATTAGAAATAAGATAAGCTGGGCACAGTGGCTCACACCTGTAATCGCAGCACTTTGGAGGCTGAGGCAGACGGATCACCTGAGGTCAGGAGTTCGAGACCAGCCTAACCAACATGGTGAAACCCCGTCTTAATTTAAAAAAGAAAGAAAGAAAGAGGAAAAGAATACCTACTCTTACCATTTCTATTTGACATTGTACTGGACATTTTAACCAGTGCAATTAGGCAAGAAAATGAAGTAAAAGCCATACAGATTGGAGAAGAAAAGCAAAACCATCTCTATTTGCAGATGACCTTATATCTAAAAACGCCCTAAGGAATTCACTAAAAAATCTATTAGAACAAATACAAGAGTTCCACAAGGTTGCGGAATACAAGAATCAATTATATTTCTATACACTTGCAATGAACAATATAAGAAGAAAAGTAAGAACATAATTTCATTTGCAGGCCAGGGAAAGGAAGAGTGACAAGGACAGATTGCTAACCCTGCTCCAGCCCCACAGATGTGAGTGAGCTGATGTCATGAATTGAGGCAAAGAGAAAGCAATGTCGTGTCAATCAGCAAAAATGACAAAACAACTCTTAATCATTTTAGGAGGTTTATTTGCAAAGTTAAAGATGAGTGCCCATCACAGTCTTGGGAGGCCCTACAACACGTACCCAGGGTGGTCGGGCACAGCTTGGTTTTATACATTTCAGGGAGACATAAGATATCAATCAATATATGTAAGAAGTACATTGGTTCTGTCCAGAAAGGCAGGGACAACTCGAAGCTGGGAGGGAGCTTCCAGGTCACAGATAGGTGAGAGACAAATGGTGTATTATTTGAGTTTCTGATGAGCCTTTCCAAAGGAGGCTATCAGAACATGCATGTATCTCAGTGAGCAGAGGGGTGACTTTTGATAGAATGGGAGTCAGGTTAGAACTGAACAGTTACCAGGCTTTTCCCTCAGCGTAGTAATTTGGGGGCCCCAAGATTTTCCTTTCCCAGTGGCAACAGGGAAACATAATGCAAGATCCTCTAGTTGCCGGACACTTACGTGACCCCTCATTCCCGGGGCCAAAGAGGTTAGGAAGTGGTTACTCAGATGGACCCTGGGGTACTTGACTGGGTGTAGGAAAGAGGTATCAGGTGGCCCCTGAGGCATCTGAGGGGAACTGATGGGCCTTCACAGAAAGCAAAACTCACTATCTAAAGGGCAGATATGGAGAAACGCAAGGGAAGGCTTATGCAGCCTAGTTGGTGTGTCTGTTTGATAAAGGGACATGGCAAACCCAGATGCCTCAGGCTGAATGGTGCAGTTAGGAATGAGAGCAAGGTCTCCAGGTTCCCACTGGAGGCTAATAACCCTCTACCCCTATCAAGATACAAGAGGGGAAAGATGGGGAGTTCAGACTTTTCTGAGGCTCTTGGATACTGGAGCCTGCATGACAATATTTCCATGTTCCTGTAGGAGAAAACATTGAACTGATGACAGCAAGAGGATTTGGGATGAACACAGTGACCCGCGGGGTTTATCTGCTTGTGGTGCTTACTTGCTTGTGAATGGGACCCTTTGGGACATTTCAGGTGCTGGTGCTGGTAGTTCCCACCACTGAGTGCATTGTAGACATTGATGTTTTGACTGTTGCCTGAGGGGGTATGTCCCCTCAAACCTGTAACAGTGGTGGAAATTCACTCCTACCTGCCATCCAGCTACCCAAGCCCTAATGGGTTATTCAACAAAAGCAGTGCTGCATACTAAAAGGAGAACAGAACATCACTTGGTTAATTAATTAATTAATTTTTAAAGATGGGGTTTCACCATGTTGGTCAGGCTGGTCTTGAACTCCCGACCTCAGGTGATCCACCCACCTAGGCCACCCAGAGTGCTGGGATTACAGGCGTGAGCCACCGTGTCTGGCCACTTCGTTAATTTAAAACTCACTTACAGGGACCGGGCGCGGTGGCTCACGCCTGTAATCCCAGCACTTTGAGAGGCCGAGGCGGGTGGATCACGAGGTCAAGAGATCGAGATCATCCCGGTCAACATGGTGAAACCCCGTCCCTACTAAAAATACAAAAAAATTAGCTGGGCGTGGTGGTGTGTGCCTGTAATCCCAGCTACTCAGGAGGCTGAGGCAGGAGAATTGCCTGAACCCAGGAGGCGGAGATTGTGGTGAGCCGAAATCGCGCCATTGCACTCCAACCTGGGTAACAAGAGCAAAACTCCATCTCAAAATAAATAAATAAATAAATAAAGGAAACTCACTTACAGGGAACGATCCAAGATGGCCGATGGCTAACATCTCAGGACTGCAGCTCCCAGCGAAAGCTCAGACAACGAGAGGACGCCACACTTTCAGACAACTTTTGGTCACTCACAGAGCAGAAGATTCCCAGTGGAGGAGCTCCACGGGTTGCCAGCACAACTCTTGTGGCTGGCACAGCGATTTCGCCGGCACCTCGGCACGGCAACTCTCTGTGCAGAATAAACGAGACTGGTTCCCCTTCTGACCGAGGTTTGGAGGAGCCACACGGGTCGCCAGCGCGACTCTTGTGGCCAGTGCAGCAGTTTTGCCGGCACCTCGGTGCGGCAGCTCTTGGTGCAGTGTAAACGGGACTGGTTCCCCTTCTGACTGAGGTTTGGAGCTCCGGAAAGGCAGAGTCACCTACTACGGACTCAAGAAGGAAGCCAGACTGGAGATTCCCGGGCAAAAAAGCACCATCAGTCTTAACGCCGCTGTTTTGGCCGGCGCAGTGGGTTGCTCATATTTCGGGCCTGGGAATTAACAACTTGGACGTCCACTCAGAGACCTATTTTGAAAGTTGGTAATTACAAAGATGACAGGTGGATAAATTTACAATGATGGGAAGAAACCAGCACAAAAAGGCTAAGAATACTCAAAATCAGAACGCCTCTCCCTCTACAGAGGATCACGGTTCCTCATCAACAAGGGAAGAAGGCTTGATGGAGAATGAGCGCATCCCATTAACAGAATCAGGCTTCCAAAGATGGATAATAAGAAACTTCTGTGAGTTAAAAGAACATGTTGCAGCCCAATGTAAAGAAACTAAGAACTTTGAAGAAAGGTTTGACGAAATCCTAATGAGAATAGACAACTTAGAGAGGAATATAAGTGAATTAATGGAACTGAAGAATACAATGCAGGAACTCCGAGAAGTATGCACAGGTTTAAACACTCCAATTGTTCAAGCAGAAGAAAGGATATCAGAGGTCAAAGTCCAACTTAATGAAATAAAACAAGAAGGCAAGATTAGAGAAAAAAGGATAAAAAGGAATGAGCAAAGTCTCCAAGAAATGTGGGACTATGTGAAAAGGCCAAATTTACGTTTGATAGGTGTACATGAATGCGACGGAGAGAATGAATCCAAGCTGGAAAATATTCTTCAGGATATTATTCAGGAAAATTTTCCTAAACTAGCAAAGCAGGACAATATTCAACCCCAGGTAATACAGAGAACACCACAAAGATATTCCTCAAGAAGAGCAACCCCAAGGCACATAATCGTTAGATTCACCAGGGTTGAAATGAAGGAGAAATTACTAAGGGCAGCCAGAGAAAAAGGTCAGGTTGATTACAAAGGGAAGCCTATCAGACTTACAGTAGATCTCTCAGCAGAAACTCTACAAGCCAGAAGAGAGTGGGGGCCAATATTCAACATCCTCAAAGAACAGAACCTTCAGCCCAGAATTTCATATCCAGCCAAACTAAGCTTCACAACTGAAGGAAAAGTAAAATCTTTTATGAACAAGCAAGTACTCAGAGATTTTTATTACCACCAGGCCTGCTTTACAAGAGCTTCTGAAAGAAACATTACACATAGAAAAAAACAACTAGTATTAGCCTTTCTAAAAATATACCAAAAAGTAAAGAGCATCAACATAAAGAAGAATTTACATCAATGAATGGATAAAACAGCCAGTTAACATCAAATGGCAGTAATCCTAAATTTAAATCGACTAAATCCCCCAATCAAAAGATACAGCCAAAACCCAACGGCATGTTACACCCAGACCCATTTCACTTGCAAGGATACACAAAGACTCAAAACAAAGGAATGGAGAAAGATTTACCAACCAAATGGAGAGCAAAAATAAATGAATAAATAAAAAGCAGGAGTTGCAATTCTCGTATCTGATAAAATAGATCTTAAAGCAACAAAGATATAGTGGTAAAAGGATCAATGCAACAAAAAGAGCTAATGATCCTAACACCCAGATACATAAGTCCTATAAAGAGACTTAGACTCAACGATACAGAAAATTAATAAGGATATTAAGGACTCGAACTCAGATCTGGAACAAGTAAACAATAAATATTTATAGAGCTCTCCACTTTAAATATACAAAATATACATTCTTGTCAATACCACATCACACCTACTCATAGGTTTAAATGAAA